GGTTGGAGGTCGTTGCTCCTAGGTTGGAGGCCATTGCTATTAGGTTTCTGAAATATGTGGAATCCGATTGGTGCACCGATTGCCTGTGACAGCATCCGGACCGACCTCCCCCCGCAGGAAGGCACAGCCAACCGTGACATGACGCAAGCCCTGTGCCAGGAAACCGGGTAGGCACCCAGCTCTGGAGATCAAAAGAGGCGGCAAAAAGATGCTCAAAGGAATCCGGTAGATGTTTTGCAACGACTGCGTCACAAAGTATGCACGCAATCATTCACATCCACAGGGAAGGGACGATATAAACATGTGTAAGGTTTGTCTTTTCTTGTGTACTTTGCTGAAATGTGATGATACCGTCTCATTACAATCTTGGGATGGAGTTCTCGTTTCTCACTGGATTGCACGGAAGAAGCGTGGAAACACTGAACAAACCGCTGCGAGTGGGAACTCAGGTGAGCGAAGTATTTGTGACGAAGACGCTGGAATGCGTTGTTACGTTCGATTCTCTGGACGCACTTGCATGTGCCGAAGCAACAAATGCCACTCGGCTCGCTGCAGTCCAAACCGGGAATGCCAGCCAAGCTCGGTCCGCAAATCAAAGGGTTATTGCAACCGAACGCCAAATGTGCGAGTGAACACACAGCTGCGCGGTTTGATGCTATGGAACATCAATCGACGTCAATTAATATAAGTTTATATACAATAATTCCAAATGTGTTGCATGAGGCGCGTTGCCTATTTGCAACTCTTTCCTTTCCTTTCCCTTTCTTGAAGATGTGCTAACGGTTTTCATCTTGACAGATAGAAACATGGAACAAGACCAAACCAGCTGGAGTCCTAACCTCATTGATTGAAAGCCAGGCTCCTTCCCAAAAGCTCTCAGACCATGTCTCTTTCAATGCTGGCACGAAACAGTGTGCCTGGGTAGGTCATTTCCCCGAGCTGATCCTGTTCTTGGTAAGATCAAAATTGGTGGTCCTTGAATCCTCGATTTGTTGACAAACTGCATTGTTTTAGGTGCGACCGCTGAAAGCAGATCTGTTTTTCCGGTATGGCAGTGGACAATGTTTTTGAGTCTTAAGAAGTGATTTAGCCATGCGATACGTGTATACAATTTTTTTCCGCATACTTACTTTTCAACCATGTTGGTTGGTGCCGTGTGAGTGTGGGGGAAACGTATGGTGAGGTTGTGTGTTTGTACTGATCGGCGATACTTTGTGTTGAAACACCGAGTGATTCGTGGCGTTTCGGTTGAACTACCACTTTTCTATACTTTTCTTCTGCGGCCTTGGCTGGCTACTGAGGCTATGACCCGGACCAAAAGAGATGTGTTGATAAGGCAATGGCTGAAGTGCTTGCCCGCACGAAGGCCAACAAGACAGTGAATATGAGGCCGAATTCGAAAGGTTTCCTCCCGTTGGTTGCAGCACGCGTTATGTATGCCAATGTATGCAGCAGTCTCCGTCTCCCTCAATATCTGGCAGAAGCATGTCCCATCATGTCCAATATTTGCTTCAGGGTGGAAGACTTCTTTGACCAGCTCATGGGCTTCACTGGAGGCACCGTCGGCACAGTGGTTGGTACGGTACCTTGGACATTCTCAAAGAAACCATTGGGATGCAGAAACCTGCCTCAAGGTCATTTCTACGGCCTCCTGAGCTTGCCCCCCCTCACCACGTCCTTAACCGCCTTAACCACTGAAATTCTGCACGACAAATTAAATGTGTCTCGGAAGCCGTTTGCTTGCTGCCAAATGTATCCAAATGTGTTGCTTTCTCAACCTTGACCTGGCCACAGCATTAACCAATCCGGTTCCACGTGGAAAATGCTCCTGCCTAACGTTGCTTTCTGGCACTGCTAAAAGGTCTACCTCTTGACCACCTCAGACCTGTCTCTAGCAAGCCTGAGATCTGTCTCTGACACTACTTGCGCGGCCCTCTCAACCACGGCCTCAACACAGAATTAACCTATCGAGTTCCGTGTAGAAAATGCTCTCGAAAGCCACCACCCACTCACAGCCTAACATAACCGGGCCAGACAATAGTACTCTGGCGTGCTCCCCCACCATCGGCCGGGGTCGGTATTGCATATAGTTTTAATTAGTTTTAGATTCTAGATGTATATATATATATATATTATATAGTTACATAATGTTTTCGGCTTTGCCGTCTTCCAAAGGCCCCAACATCTAAAATCAAATAGCACGAAGATTGGAAATGCTGATTTTTGGATCAAATAGGACAAAGTCCAGGGTGCGAGTCACTAATGGCAGCTGACAGTTGTTTATAAATTAGATCATCTAACTTCGACTGTGTCCGGTTCGAACACGTGCTTCCAACGAAACGACAAAGTGTCCTGGAACACAGTTGGCAGGTCTTGGGCTTGGCCTGAAACCACCAAAACGCCATGCAGTTTTTCCCCGATACCTCAGTTGGTGTGATGTTTGTTTCCATTAGTAGCTATACTTAGAAGGCATTCAAGATGTGTTTTTTTTTGGCTCAACAACTACCCTTGCTGCTGCATACATCATGCACCTACATAACATACACTTACAGTACTGTATTATTTTATTCCTTTGCCAAAAATAGCTATTGTTGCTCTGCTTTTTTGCCAAACGTAGCTTCCTGCGACATTTGGACGAAGTGACGCTCAGGCATTGGCCCCAGTTATGAAGGTACTTGGATTGCATTTGAGAAAACTTGAACGTCGTTGAGAATGGGTCAGATGCAACACATACTTTTTTGATCTTGGGACGTAGTGACGTCCACGACTTGACCAACATCAGCAATGCGGCCTCTTTGGCAAGCATCTTTGGGAGAAATGAATGGGCATAGTTTGTGCATGGGGTGCATTTCGCAGAGTTTGCAGATGTGAATGTCATTAATTATCACTGCAAGCCAGAATCTTTGATGACACTGCCATCAACAGACTATGTATTGATGTGCAGCCAGACTATGTTTGCGTTGCATTCACTTTCCATGCTGACTGTGAGATTGTGAGAACACTTGATATTAGCCTCTAAAGTTGCAGCTTCAGATTACGCCGATCTGCTCGAAGCGGGGATTGGCAGAGGTCTTGAGCCCATTTCAGTCAATGGCTAGAAAAGGCGCATCGAAGGGCACATCGAATTGACATTTGTCGAAGTGAACTTGATAAAACTGGCTGGAAGTGTGAAACGAAAGGACCATTGCTGCAGGAATAATTATTTGTTGCACAACCGGTCCACTGCAGGGGCAATTCGAGCAGCTGGATCCTACGCAAGCTGGCAGCAACTCGTCCCAATGTAGAAAGTCAGCGCTGTTTGATCCAGAGAGCACAACACATTGCCAACCATGCTTAGCACGACATCACGGTAGCTTAGCAGGCTTAGAATGCTTTGTTGGAAGTGATGAAGATAATTATCCATGACTCCACGTCTGCAGGTTCAATCGAAACCTTGAGCTGCTTGGCAATTTCAGCATCAGTTTGATCAGCGTCGAACACGGGCATTATAGTAGCATCATTGGCATGTGCCCAACTGAGAATGGTGTTGCAATAGCACTGACAGCAGCGCTGCTGCTTAGGCGATCCGTTTCAACATGTTAGAGTTTCTTTAGAATCAATGAAGTAAAATTATAGGACCCGGAGAGGACTACAGGAGTTTGCAGAGCTAAGCAGAGCTAAGACTGCGGCGATAAATGAAACGATACTAGCGACTGTGCAAAACAACCCGTTTGAGACCTTTTTGAAAGACGTGCACTTTTGCGCCAACATGTCATTACCTCGTCAATCGACACCAAGAAGCACTGACAAGATGTGCCAAGAAATGATGTGTGAGATAGGCTCACGATTTGCCAGTCAGCATATCAATGGAAATGACATGGTAATATGGGATATATGTATGGATATGTGTGCATGTGGTCGGGACCGCAAGGCATACAGAGGGCTGGCTGCAGTGGGCACTGGGCAGCTTTGTTTTGGAGCATGACGAACAGCCGAGACTCGGTCGTTGTGGAGACGTCCCACGTCTCGGTCGTTGGAGGCACGGACCAAATAGGGTTGGCAGGTGCCCAAAGGTTGGCACGATGTTTCTATGTGCCTCTTTGGCGGCGGTCAGTGTTAACTTCTTGCCCAAAGAATTTCTGCAAGTAAATGTATGAATTAGACTTGCCTCAACTCAATTCTCACCTACACCTGCCTGGTATACTGGCAAGTAACGACTGGAGGATGAGCAAGAAAGGTATAGTATAGCTAAGGCCTATAGTCTAGTTATATAAGTTTCCCTAGAAATCTAGGAACCAATGAATAGTGCGTGAGCTATCCTGCGTCCAAGGTAGTACAGTAGCTACTTAAGCTACTAGCTACCTCTTATACTAGCCACCTCTAGCTACTGCCACTTAGCGGAGAGAGAGCTCGTGTGCTGGGAGATCATCAGGAAGAAAGCGTGCAATATGGCATCCTCACTGTCCCTCACCAGCGCCAAGATCGACTTTGGCAAGTGTTATTTGTCCTTGGCACCTTGTCAGTTCGAAGTCACCCCCGCCTATAGGCTTCTCCAGTTCTGCGAGATACCATCTTTTCTCGCATTGTTTAGCGGAGAATGAGCTTTTAGCCTAGACCCAGCCAGCACCATTGTTCGATTCCTTAGTCATTTTGGTCACACTTGTGCATGCCTGATTCTGCTGCACAAACGGCCTGAGTAGTTCAGCACATTCTTTTCAGTGGTTCTTTCAAGGAACCCCCAATTGGGTAATTTCTGATTGCCCTTTGTACAATCTTATTCGTGAGTCATTGATTGGAATAGGATCGAGAGCATGATTACTTTTTTGCATGCGCCTTCGTTTTGTTCCTGCAACACCAGCACTTCAATGGTTGCTGAAGGTAATTGACACATCCGATCTCATGTCTTGATTGTAGAAGGTTGACCTGTTACAGTACAGTATAGATCTTTAGTTGTATATATACACACAATGTTTCCATCATCCACTGCAGCCATGAGACAACGACACAAGAGGGCACAGTCCCAGGTGCTGCAATCACGCTTCAGAAGGCAACTTGAGCAATTCCATAGCACAAGGTACATAAAATTCTGACGCAGACGCATGATGTTTTTTCACCCTGGGAGTTTTCGTGGCAATGATGTGGTTGCCGTACGCCTGGTTTCCTCCAGGAATTTCTGAACAAAATACAAATGTGGCAGATGACACATTTGCTCCTCTACTATGATTGCCCAAATGCTAGAAATGTCAGATTCTTGGTGAGCGCACTCAAGCTGAATTAAGGCCTACCCAGATGGAGTTCCCTTGTGGGAAGGCAGGGATTTTGGGGACAACACTTGATAAATTTGTCATTTGTCAAAGATAACATGCAAGCTGTCGAGGCCCTATCTATTCTTACAGCGATGGCAAAGGCAACGACTTCAACATCTCTTTGATGGTCAAGGCTCCAACTTAGCTATATTAAAAACATAAACATATATAAATATGTGTTTTTCCTCTACTCACTATATATACATGTCTATGTAGTAGGCCCACAATTCAAGAAGACCGACCTGCATCCTGTCTAGAAATTCCACGCGCTTAGAATATCCAAGATAAGAACTCACTGTCACGGCCAGCAATCCAAGTCCTGGATCTTGAGCAGCCTGGCAGGAGGGCAGCCTGATTTTTAGCCCTGTCCTCTATATCCTCATATAGCCGTTGTTTTAAACCTTGGAACATTGCACAGCATCTCATGTTCACGTTCCTGTTCTGTGTTTACAAACAAATCAGATGTGGGATTGGTGCTTGCCGTTTGGGGTTTGGCTGTTTGGGCATCTATGAGCTGTATTGACCGTACCCCAACATTTGCTCTGTGAAACGGGTGTTATGAAATATAGGGATTGTGATGGCACATGCTATGGCCTAGAACAAACAGCAGTGCTTGTTGACGCTTGCTTACAGAGTTGACTTGATATCTAATGAGTTTGTTGACATGGAAGGCTGGGCAAATTCGATGCTTGGAGAAGCTTCAAGTCCAAAAGTCTCGATGCTTTGGAGCCTCGGAATGAGGAATCTTGAGCAAGGCAGCAAGACCATTTTCCAAGTTTCCATGCATGCAGTTTCTGCTTTTTTTTGTGCTGGCAGTTATGGGAACCCGGTCTCTTGGGAAACCTTCCTCAAGCCTCTTGATTTTTCTTGCTACAGTTGTTTCATTGCAATCCCAACATGGGACGAGTAGGAGGTGGATGATTTCTGTGAGGCTGTGGACACCTTGGAGAGGTACTGTACGGACCGAATCCACTGACCGCGCATTCTCCCTCATTCCTCGAACAAGGGGGTTTTCCAGGGGTTGCGATGCGACCCTGCCAGGGTGTTCAGTGTTGAGGTGGTGCAGGAGTTCGTCCATCAACAGTATGTCTACACGCTGGCATACATGTATATATGTATGATATGTGTATTACATAAACTGCGGATGTATATAAATATATATATATATAACCAACTGGTATCGGGAATCCTATCCCTTGAGTAGTTATGGCATTTGCCATTGAAACACACTTCTTGGGTCAGTGGTTTTCAGAGAGCTTGTGCAGTACATGATCATGGAAATCGAAGGCTTCAAAATCCCATGCCTGCGTTTGCCACACTTGGGTAGAATCACCCACAGAACCTCCTGTGGCGATTTCATTCAAGAAGTAAAAACTTTGAACTATAGTTGTGCCATGGCTGCACTCCACCCTGTAAAGCAGTGGGTTTGGTGCTGATATGGGGCTTTGCTAGACACACTCCAGCAAGGCCTCCATGAAATCAGCGTGGTCTCATCTATGCAAAAACTTCTAACCTCCAACTGCAGCCCAACTTGAAAAAGAGCAGAGCCTAATTTGAGCAGTTTCACAAGCATTCTTTGCAAGTTCATCCACACCGTCAGTTTCCAAGCAGCTGAAGCAGAGCGTGAAGAAACGGACTAGTGAGTGGAATTTGCCGTTATTTGTCCCGCAGGGCACATCACCAGCATGCAGGGTGGTTGTAGCGCAGAAAAACTCGTTGGCCTCTACGCAATTGAATCTTAGGACAGTTCGACCAAGAATCTCAGAATTGCTGCTGCCACTGCCACTGGTGTTGTTGCTGCAAGCAAAGACAGCTACAGCAGCGAATACTGACGATGGCAACTGCACATGACGCGCACCGCTGCTAGTGCCACAGACCACACAATTGCGACCTCAGTCAAAGAGCCACAGCATGTTGCACAGCGAGCCCATCGAATGAATCTGAGGAGATGGAACAATTCAAGTGACAATTCGGCAAACTTGCCATGCACAGCTCCGAGTAGGCAATTCTTGCTTCAGTGGATGTAGGCACAAGTGGGAAGATGACCTGACGCTCTTTGCATAGTCCGTGTGTTGAAGTACTCCAACCCTGCCATTGTGTAGTCCCCAGGTTAATCAACTTTGTGAAACAGGTTACGAGTTTGAGCACTCCATACCCAGAACCATGAAGATAAGTACAGCATAACTTGTGTCAACTGGCTCTTACTTTTCTGTTGGGGATCAGCGATTTGACGCCCATCTTGTAACCTCGTGAACTGTGAGCTGAGGAAACGTCATTGCAGATGGAGGCCTTGGCTCGCATGTTGTTAAGAACTTGTTTATGAACTCTTGGAAGGTACTGGTAGTCTGTGGCTTTGCAGGCATGGCTTTTGGTTGAATTTGAAAAACAGCCTGCCAAAACCTTTGCGAGACCAAGCTGAAACTATATATAGTTACAGTATGTTATATAATATACCTATTGTCAGCAGAGCAAAGGTTGGCTTGGCACCGCAATCATGCCTCCACGGTTATTTCCTCCGGCTTCCTGGTCATGAAGGTTTGCTGGGTTCCCACGGACTGATCTTTCATGTGTACGCAGGCGCATCTCTCGAGAGTGGGTGACCACTCGGTGACCACTCTTAGGTAAAGGAGGGTTGATTCATGCATGTTTGATGTACAGGAACAATGCGTAGAGTCACACCCTCGAATCGTGTCACATATCATACCTCGTCCAACAAGGTCTATTCAAATTCGAAGAAGTTGTGTTGTTGGATAATCATGCTGTTTCATTTCGTTCAACTTGGCTCGTCTTAAAAGGTTGGGTCAATCCCCAATGCCGCAATTCCAGAACGGAACAGCGGGGAGACCGGTCGGTACTGTACGCGTCTCGGCGACATGTTGCTCGTCGGTGTTTGATTTTCTGCTTCGAGCCTTGACCTTTCCAGGCCTTTGCCAAATAGAGCTCGCCCCAGCTACAGACTGCCCCTTGAATGTCACTGACTTGGAAGTGGAGATCCTTTGAGAGCAATGCTGGGTCGAAGGTGCATGGGAAGAGGCGGGTGGTTTATTGAGGTCTCTTCTGAGTTGCCAATGAGGCCATTGAAATAATCTGATATTATATATGATATTATCAGGCAAAGACGAAGAAAGGGCTGAGCGAGAAACGATGCGTTCTATAACGAAGGTTTTTTTCCCCAGATTTTGAGCTTTTGCTGGAGAGCTTTGATAATAAATTGTTTTCAGCGTGCTCCGCAGCCCATTTCTTTTTGCTACACATTCCCTTCTCGACATCCTGGTCCACACTCTCCTACCTTTCACTCGGCCGCTGAAATCATCTTTCCACCAATTCACCTCACTCCAAACGCTTTTGGAGTCCAGCGACATTGCTTGACGTGACATCTTGCGGCGTTTTTTTGCCCGCAGATGTCATTATCGTCAGACGCCCTTCTTCCGAGGATCTTTTGCGAGGGCAAATGCAAGCTTCAGGACCATGTCCGATCTATGCTGACCTGGGAGGAGGCCGACAATGCCATAGAAGTGGGCAGCAAGGCAGGGCAGTCTATGCCGCACCGGCCTCGACTCTTTTTCAAGTTCCAGTGTTGAAGAGACCTGTAACATTTTGAGCAAGGACTGCTTCACCCGCGTTGCAGGTTTATATCTACAAAGAAGGGAGCCGCAAATACGGCAAAAAGTGCGAAGGAGAGTTGAACGTCATCACCAAGAATATTGTGAGGTGTGGGACACCTTGGACCCCGGGATTCCCTCGCAGGAATCCCTGATGCATTCTAGCCAATCAAATGGTTAAGTTGGCAGTTGGCCTAGGTCTCCAAAGGCTTGACCTTGCTTTCGGACGTCTTGGTTTTGAGGATGTCTTTTTGGGCTGGAAACGATGTGAGCATACGTTTTCACGGCTAGCAGTAGCTAGAGTTCTCTGGAATGGGCTGAGCAAGGCTCCAATGAGCACTCAGGACCGGTTCCCAAACTCATAACCACACACTGGATGGCGAGTTGTTTGTACGTAGGAACATGTAGGAACTATAGAAACTTGTTCATCCTGCAGGTGTGACACCACCGGAAAGAAATGCCTTCGGCATTGCATCCTGACTGAAAAAAGAAAAACGAAGATGATACCGCTGATACAATGCAAAAAAGAGAGGGGCCTTCAGGCACCATTGGGCAATGCCGATAGGCCGAGAGCGATTGATTCAAACGACCGATAGTCGATAGGCCGATAGGAAAGTTTTTTCAAAGCCAGACAGTGCTTAAACGTTCCAGTTCCCCAAACAGTGGTGACAGAAGCTACTTACTAGTAGCAAGGACGCTATTAGGTGGAGGCCATCGCATGTAGGTTGGACGCCATCGCTACTAGTAGCAAGAAGTGTTTTACAGGTTTTAAGCCAACTTCTCTTGGCAGGTGCCGGAGATTGGAGGCGTTTTGCTCCGATGTACAGATTTCTTGGCAGTCGCAGTACTGACTTAGCGGTGATCGCTGGCGGGCTCAGATTTTGTGGGCGCAGCGAACTGCTGTGCCTCATGGGTGTGCTCTCAGAGGTGTGCCACATGATGTGTTTTCATGTGTGCGTGTTGTCATACGTGTGTCTTTATATGCTTGCTCTCATGTGTGTGGATGATGAGTCCTGTTTTGCGTGCGTGCTCTCATGTGTAGTGCTAATATATTAGTACAATATATGTGTGTGTCCCTCACGTGCATGTTTTTTCGAACACAGTTCGTTACGGTTCGTTAGTCCCACCAGAACCCAGCAACGCAGTGTAAGGCATATGCAGTGCGCTTCCCTTGTTTGGGGTCGGTTGCCGATGCTGCCGGTATAGTTGTTTTATTTTCATTTTTCACAATCTGTTTTGCGAGGGTAAGCGGCATAAGCGGCAGTGGTTGCACAAGATTCAGAAACGGAGCTTCATGATAGAAAACGGCTGGATCAGGTAATTTGGATTGTGAGTTTTGTCATGAGTTAAATTTGTATTTTGTTGTGCAGATTGGTTGAACTGTGGAACGCTGCTGACAGACCCAAGGGAGTGCGCGCGCTAAGCTAAGGCGTCCAAGGAAGTGGATGCTGGCATGCCTCGAATCTCTTGACAGAGAAATACTGTGAGGCAAAATGGAAGACTGGTGTGAAACGTGTCTTCAAATTGCTCTTCGATCACAAAATGAATGCACGGATGGTTCTGGAGTGAATCGGGGTGCACACTTGTGACCAAAGCTGCTTAAGAGAAAAGGATGATCATGAAACTTATGGGGCAATTGGGCCTTTGATGTGGTCTCCACTTTCAGTTCCTGTAGACTGTAGACGTTCTTTTTTTCAAATTGATTGTAGGATATGGTCGGATTGAAGGCATTGAAGGGCAACAAATGGGGGGGTGCAGGCCATTGAATCGGTCAAAATGGTCACAAGTGGTTTGTACAAGGGGATGTGTCTCAAATGCAGATCAAGGGACGAAATACTCAACCCTTGAAGAGACAGACAATATATGACCACAGGAAACCGGAAACCAGATGAGATTCAGAAGCTGTCAGTCCACTTCCCTCTCTTTCCATTGCGCGCAATTAATGAATAACTGTTGGATGAAATCTGCAAAGTTTGTGGATGCGTGGAATGTTTGCACGCTTGTCATCATTGTGCGAAATGAGGTTGTCGAATTGGATGGGGGAGAGCTCTGGCTCAGACACACCCAGACTGACGCTGATCTACCGCAAGTTCAATGCCATCCTCAAGGAGGCCTATCTCTGGAACCTGGGGAACACTTTGTATGACGTGGCACTATGGAACGGGTGTGTAAAATAAAAGCCAGGCAGCTAGACCCTCCAACGACGGGGTTTTCCACAGGATTTTCGCGGTCTTCGATTTTCAATCTGATACAATAGACTGTTGCCCGTTTTGTTGAATTTGCCACATTTTGCCGTGGTTTTAGGGCCTTGGGGCCATTTCGGGACAGGCAAGGAAAAGGCCATTGATGCGGTATACTCGTCCGAGGGTTGCAGGGCACCAACGTTTCTGGTCCTGGTGTATTTTTACATATGTTTATGTTTATGATGTATTTTTTCGCATCATCTAAGTTCAACTTCTTGTGTAGAGCTTCGGGATCCAGGCATTCATTGTGATTGCTGCTGCTGCTGCTGCAACATGCAACAATTACAGTAGCTATTTGTTGTATTGCGTAAAGTTTGTTGTTTGTTTTGCATGCATTGATCTGTGCTCCCACCATCCCTCGACTGTTTAAGTCTGTACTTGTTCAAGTACGTACACTACTGGATGCATGTGTATTCAGGGATGAAGAGGACAGGTCCAGCCGGTCCAGCAGCTTTTCGCACTGCACACTGCCACGATGAACGCAAACAAATCCAGCAGCGAAGCTGTTGGAGATTGTTTGAGCTTCTACGTAAAAGCATAGCTTTGCCCCACATCTCCGAACCATACCACAACACTGTCGACTTTTTTGTCAGTTGCAGACATTGAAAACTGGTTCAAAATCGAACTGCCGCTGGTGAGCTGCGTACTTGAGGTAAGAACAATAGTTCTGCTTTTTATGCTGGACCTGTGACACAACACCCAGCACAAATCATGCAGAGTCGGTGCACACTTGAACTTTTGCCAATTGATATGCACATTCATACATATGTAAATAATTGTATATATATACACACTGTATAATATGTACTATATACAGACAGTATATACAACCGGGGCCCAACGCGACGATGCCAAATTTTTAAAAGTGGTTTTGTGGCAAGACTGGGCCCCTTCCATGCACATGGCACTGCGCCTTTTGGGAAGCAATGGCTGGTCTGCACTTGCGTTGCATGTTGCCATGCTTTCACAGGCGTTGACAAAAATTCAGGAGCGGCCCTGCTCATGGCGCAGCATTTGCTGGGGGACCTTTGGTTGTGTTTGTGTGTGTGTGTTTCGTTTGGCATGCTGTTTATAGGAGTGGTCCCGCTCACAGTTTGGAGAGACAAATTTATCGATTTGTCGGGATCTAACGGATGAGGGAAAGGCAATGTTTTTGATGAAGGGTGGAGGTGTTGTTGACTCCACCCTTGCACCTGCAGTTTCCTGGCGTTGTATCCGGGCCGGGGCTGCTTCCAAGCGGTGCCCGTGAATTTGCGCTATGGAATTTCTTTGCACGGGCTTGCTGTACTGCAGCTGTACGGATGGCACTGCACCAAGTAAGTCGTTCTGCGGCGCCAAGGACAACTCGCCGTTGCTTGTTTGTTGCCCCTGTTGCCAATGGGCATTGAGCAATCGAGTGGAGACAGGGACCCACGTACAGAGCAGACCGCAGCCGCATGTAGGCAGGATACGAGTTTCCCAGGACAACCCGTAACTCGCGAAATCCATAGAGAACCGAAAGTGACATGAGTTCAAGTCCGTGAATTTGGATTGAGTTTCGGTGGGGATGCCTGCGAGGTTGATTACATATCCGCATAGGGCTCCTGCAGCCCCCCTAGCAAAAACATCAAAAACTATACTTGCACCATGTCCTCGGTCGAGTGGATGCTTCTCGCGGCGTCCACACGCGCCGAACGTTTTTCCGGCTTGCCGGTGCAGATAGATAGAAAGAGATAGAGATAGAGAGATAGATATAGTTAGATAGCTGGATAAATTCTATATACTACTGACTCATGACGTCGCCTTTTTGCTGGCAGCCCTGGCCGAATCCAGTCAGCCTGGGTCCACGGCCCAAAGATCTACACACGCAGGTGCCAAAGTCAAGGCCTCTGAGTGAGAAAGGCGCAGAGTTGATAAGAAAGAGAAGAATAAAGAAGGTGTTTGGATCGTTCAATAAAGGCCCCATTAAAGGAAAAAGATTGTGTTTTGGATCGAGCCAGAACATGACTCACTCAAGTCCAGGCTTCACTCCTTTGCTAGCCCAAGCTACTCCTGCTAGACCTCCCCTTCTGCGCCGTGGGATCAAACGTCTGTGTCCCGGCTAAGACGTGCCCGTTCACTCTTCCAAATCAACGAATGCCGCTTTTCGACGTGCCGCAGTATGCATTGCAAACTTCAAACACTCCAAATGCATCAAACACAGTGCTTCTTTTGAGACGCATGCCGTACTCGCGCGGGCGGCGACGCTGACTATGGAGAAGGTCTTCCTGCGCGCGCGTATCCCACCACTCGAACTCAGACGGTGTTTCCCCTTCGCTAACGCTGATGTCGCCTTCCAACTTCCATAAGATGCATACCTTCCTGCGTGTGACAAACACATGCCATTGCCTTGTGATGTGATGATGACCTACACCAACATACAACGTATCACATTTCTCTTTCACTACTTCTTTCATACCAAACTTATCCCAAAGCCGCCTGGCTTGCTTCTCTGCTCCCTCCATCACCATTACATACGCCCCCCCACATCTGCGGCACCGCTGACTCGCAAGCTGCCGACCATGTGTCTTGCGCCGCGACGCCCGCCAGAAAAAGAGACACTCGTCTGGCGGCTGCTGGCTTTCGTCCCCCTCTTCTCAGGTACATATTATATTGGAGTAGATGGCGCCAGTGGGCAATAACAATGGTAGATCCTGATACACATCCGATTCCCACCCAATGCTTTGGGAAACCACTAGCTGGGCACAACACTTTTTTGGAAACAAGACCGCAGATGCTAGCTGCTAGCTGGATCCCCTCTTTGCCGCCTTCTTTTGGCCTTGTGGCGGGCGGCGGCTGACTTTACCAGGGCTTTCAAATTGCTGCAGTCCTTGCGGTTGAATTTGGCTCTAAGTCCGTGTCTCTCAATACTTTGCTTTCATCAGGTTGGGTCTGAGTCTGGTGAGGCTTGCGCGGTATGATGAATATTGTCTACGATGTGAACCAACCGTGTTCGTTGCCTGAGGTGTGGCTCAGCTTTGCTTCCTGTTGGCCCTGGCATGCCTCTCCAGTCTGCTGTCCCCCACACACCTCCGCGGAACTTTGGAAACTGTTCATTTCAGTGTGTCGTGGACATGGAAGTTCCCCTGCAACAGCAGTGAAAAAAAGGTTAAAAAATTGGGTGGGCTGGGATTGTTGACGGATTGGCGGTTAAAGGCGACTATTTTTCATTGCTTTTCGCCAATTGTGGGGCTGAAGCTGCTGCTGGGGTAAATTGGGGATTGTACAGTGAGGTTGGGGGGGAACTACTGCCACAGAGATGTTGTGCTTAGCCATACTTGGAGGTTTGGAAGCTGTATTTGGTAATTTGGTTACTATAGTAGGATTTGCATTGCATGGGACTGAAACATGTCTTTTTGCCAGGTGAAAGTTCGAACTGACCTATATATATTTCGCACTCGCTCACTGGAAGATGCAATTGAAGAGGACGCCAACGACGAGAGGACAGTTCAGGGTTGCAAGAGAGTCTACACATATGGGGAGCATTGCCAAGTCTATTCTTGAAATTCCTGAAAAGCATTGAGTAACGTAGATTGCAATAGTCTGAGAATAGCTGACTGAGCTGACCGTTTCAGGAATGATCGAACGCGGCGCGGCATCATCGATCGCTTCAATCACGCATTTGGTGCAGTGAGCAACGTCGTTGACCATATTGAAAGTGCAGCATTGGGCCTCATTAGGTCAGAGAAGGAGGCCGAGTGATGGCACTCTAAATGGCAACAAGACCTATGCACATAGTTTCTTTCCATGGAAACACTGTGTTGGGCTGAAAGCTTGTGCGGAATCTGAGAGAGAGAGAGAGACAGAGACGGAGAGGGAGAAATGGCAAGAAGGGATGCGTGTTGGAGCAAAAGAAGAGTGCTTCGTCCGTGGGCGGAAGTGCTACTCTAGGCAACCGACGCGCAGATGACCCTGATCAAGAGATACAAATTCAACATGCAACTTGTGGCTGAAACGGGCTATATCTTATGCAATGTATATAACTAGAATATTTTTGGATTGAGGTTTGCACCTCCGCACAATTACACACGGGCATGCACGCACACCCACAAGAGAAGCACTCGAGAGATATGCGCACCAAAACAAATGTCATGTGCAATTGAGGTGAACTTGAGATATCCAAGCTATTTTATTTGTAAACTACACCCAACCATATTTGTTTTGAGACAAGGTATGGCGAAGGTGTCTAGACCTTAGTGGCTGCCATTTTGAGGCAACCGAAGCGGGATGAGACGGGCAAATTTGCTGGTTATGAATTGGTGACATGCCAGCAGCTCCTCGGATGTGGCTATCCCGCCTGGTGGGATTTCTTGACGTGGAGAAAGTGACCGGTTGGAACCCCAAATGCATTGGCTCCAAAAGAGTGGATTCTACTTGTAAGACTGTCAGAGACCAGTGATTCTTCTGGAGACGACCTTCAAAGGCTTTGATGAGTTCCCCCTTGACTTCCCATGGGTCTCTTTCCTTGGCAATGTGCTCGATGTCATACAGTGCGAAGTTTGTGCCTTTTAGATCCCACAAGAGACTGGTTGAGTCTCAAGACTGCCAGTGTGTAAACGGTCCTGCGAGGCATACAGGCATATTTACAGATCCGCACACATGCGCAGGTGTGCAATTGGATACCGCTATATATAGAGACTCCTGGGAGGTCTCTCGTTGCCCAATTGAAGTGGTGCTTCTGGAATATGTTTGCGCGGCATCGTCGGAACTTGATACTGTAATATACCGTAACAAGTCAATCTTAGGACTCGTTTTCAGCATCCCAGCAAAAAGAACCTCTCATATTCAGGCACCAAACAAGCCTTTTTGTACGCTGCTGGCACTGCTGGCTGAGGAAAACTTGGAATGAAGCCACCCAAGCCTATGACAAGCCGCCTCTGCGAAAGTGCCAAAAGATTCGACTAGTCAATCTACAATTGATGGCATTTTGGCAGCTCTTATTCAGTCCCTGTACAGGTTTGGCAAGACACTTAGCCCCGTGACCCCTCTAGGCAGCACTATATTGCTATATAGGGACAACTGCGTGACAGGTTTCGACCGACGACCGAGGCAACAGAAGAGCAATATTTGGAGACTCCTTGCTGCACAGAGAAAGAACCCACCAAGGATGCGCACGTGTACTGACAGTCTCTGCGTCGAATGGACACATGTGAACACCAGGCAAACATGAAGCTAGTACACAACCGTATGGGTGGATTGAGGGTTCGCACAATTGTTCAACAGATTCAACAGGCTCTTTAGTGTTTGGACCATCAACCAATTTGTCAGAGCCCCAGAAGTGAAGCAATGTTGAATCCTTGTTCCTCAGGTTCTCCTCGTTGTTAGTGTTGAGTTTCTAGCTAGCTAGCACTAGTTGGCCTTTGAATGAAAGAGCCACAAGTTTCCAGATCGTGTCATTTGACCTCCGCCATAATCGGCAATATGTTACTTGTAGCATGGAACAAGTAGCAGTAGGACTCCGGCCTGTGCAAAAGTATTACCACATGCATGATCCTTCACTATACAGGGCAGCGAAGAGAGATACCGTACCCATCCGTACCCAACCAATGACGCTCCTGACCATGGAGTTTTCTGTGCCAAGGATTGAAGAAATTAGCAGTTCACAGCAGCAAGCCAACTCCATCACCGGTGCCTTGAATACAAAGGTTGGCAAGTCGTGACGCTAAATTTAAGCATCTTACTGGGAGTGAATCAGGGGTTGGACATAGCCATGCATGTAAGGAGAGCATGCAAGCACCCCTGGACAGAACTTTCAATTGTTGAGTTGCTTTGGCAATTCGCATTTTAAATTTTAGTTGTGGGATCAAGCTGGCACTGCAATGAAACCTCACTGAGAGGCAGCGTTTTGGTGAGTGCGGGCCTTCACTGAGGTGGTAGTCCTGGGATCGTCCTTTCCCTCATTGCCAAGATTGCACGGATGATGTTCGCCCGCAATACAGCGACCATGATGGCATCGGATGAGAAGGGTGTAAGGCACCCGTGCAAGGACATGTGGACTCGAGGACTGCCCGGCTCTGAAGTGCAGGGTGCACATGCTGACATGTACAGTACTTGTAGTAGAAATGGAGTTTTATGCAGAACCAAGATGAACATGAGGATGCACGTTCCTCAAGAGCCTGATAGGTCCTCGGATATGTAGCCGATCGGGAATGACGCATGAGTGCTAAAGCAGTGAAAGAGATGGTGCCAAGCCAAGCAAGTGGAGTATACAGAGGGTTGCATAAAGATGTGCAAGGTAATGAAGTAGCGGTGCCTCCGAAGATTGGCGCGACTATATATATATATAATATATATTGGTTGTTGCAACACACGTTGCGTTCTCATTGTTGTGAATTATGATTTGTGCCTTGGGCTACAGACATGCCCCTAGAATTGTCAGTCCTTCTGAAGCCATCCAATGACGCTTTGTCGCAATATCAAATAGCCATTCGAGTGGCTGGGATTTTGTTTTCAACGTCCCTTCTCCAATTTTGCCGAAATTTTGTAGAAGTATAATGATATACATATATTATCAGCCTTCAATGTAATGGCATGCATACAGCGTTGGTTCACTTCCCACACAGTTCTTAATATAGATGTTGAGTCCGACAAAACTCTCGGTGTATCTGCTACCTGGTCCGAAAGTTGGGCAAGAAGAATAAACATTGTTCCTCATACATCTTGTCCATGAGCTGAGTGCAGTTAACATAGAACTGCCGTATACCTTTGTAACAAGTGCCGATGATAGAACTGTACGGCCTTCCAATACTAGTCACATCTTCAAACACATCAAAGGCTGCTGCTGCTGCTGCTGCCGCCTGTTCTTGGGTGCCAACAAAAAGGTCTTGGCTCATGCCCATGTACAAGTGTCTCAAAGACAATATGAAGGGACTTCTCAAGTCGTGACTTCATGCGCTTCACTCGTGTGTGGAAGGTGTTCACTCCGAACACTGGACGATCTCCTCCGTGTGGTTCATGTAAGTCCCCCCCCAAGCCACGCACTTTTGAACCAGGACCAGGGCGTGCATGATTCGCGTGATTGCGCAGGACCAACACGCCATGCCTTTCCTGATTCTCCCATCCGAAGTAAAGCCCAAGGCAGACTGTTCACGTCTTCACGCTCCAGCTGCCTCCAGCTGATCTTGGGAAATGCCGGGCACACCCCGATGCCATAGTTGCTGGTGCCCTGTAGTACACCTTCTCACCAGTGTGGTCGTTTCACTCGAGGGATGTATCTCACCTCATAGACCTCCTCAATGACCATCTGGGCTACCCATTCGCCCGGACTCATGGTGAGAGGTTGATTGGAGCCATTCGTAGCCCGCACTTTGACCTTGCCGCGAAAGTCACGGTCAATGACTCCTGGTCCAACATTCACTCCCTTGACCGCCCTTGACCATCATACACAATCTCGAAGTGAGTCTTCCGTAGGCGCGCACTGGCCATGGCCAACCACGTGCCGATCAGGGCACTTCCTCCTTGGGTCCAGACTCACACAGTCGTATGCGTGTAGATCCCGGTCCTGCTGGCCCATTCGTGCCGATCAGGGCTCATCCTTGAGGAGCTTGAAAGGTCACGATGTTCTCCGTGCCATGCTCCGAAGAGTGGCCAACCCGTTCTGCTTGGTTGCACAATCAAGGTGAGGAAGCTTCTTCCATCATAGCCACGGCCTGTGGCGAGACGGCAGCCACAATGAGGCCTGCAGCCTTGGACATCATTCAGCCGCATTAACCTAAACAGCTTCTTGACCTCTTCCACCCTACCACCGAGAAGGAGCTCGTTGATGAGCCTCTCTTCCGCCACCAAGTAGCTCCCATCAAGATGCCCATCCATTCCTTCGCACCACCAAAGCTCAAGCTGCACAGCCACCATCCGCTCGGCCATGCTCAAGGCCACCATGGCCTGCCTCATTGAGGCCACAAAGATTGGTGCAATTGCCAACGGCTGCATCGCAATCGGCCTCAATTGGCCATCGTGATCGGAAGCTGGTGCCACGTGAACGGTGGCGGACTCCCCCCGTCATGAGACCCTCAACCAGGCCTCCTCCATGAGCTCGCTGCCCCCAGTTGTGGGCGTTCTCCAAAGCCATTTTGAACGCTTTGACAGCTCTCTGGTGGCGTAGACTCCCTCAATCCCAAACGCTCGAACCGGCCTTTGGTTTGTGCTTGCACATGTAAATCTACACTACAGCATGGTCACATGCCATTTCCATGTAATACATGAAGCATCGTTGTTAGTACTGCAAATACGGCGCACGCGGCCCGACTCTGAGTTCTAAAACCTCGAGGTTCTTTACCAAACAGATTATATACAGTATTTTGTTTTTAAATATCTATTAATAAGTATATATCATACAAATTACATACATATCAAAGTATATATAGTTAATTAATCCCCGTAAAAAAATCATCCATAAAATCAGTCCCCCCAGGCTCCTGCATAGAACGGTTCTACGAACCACATGGCTCTCTAGAAGAGACTCCAAAAGTGCGGGGGGCACTCAATTTATGGACAGACCTTTTTGGGTGGACTCCTATCCATTCTATGGAAAGGCAATCTTCCTATAATCTCAGATTACAGGCTGTTTCAGAGGCTGGACTCCAGCCATTCTATAAGCACAGCATTCTTGAAGCCCGAGGACGGATTAGGGGCTCCTGGCCTTACTACTAGGAGCAAGGACGCTACAAGGGGCTCCTGGCCGTACTACTAGCAACAAGGACGTTACTAGGAACAAGGACTGTGGATGGCTGTGACATTTTTTTAGTGAACAGACTGTTCATGAACTTTTGTGTTTGGGTTTTGTTGTGCAACTTGAAGGAGAGCCCGGAATGGTAGTTTTTTGGAATGGGGGATTGTCCAATGGTATATGCGAAGCATATACACTTTCAATAGAGCAAAACATAGACAGAGACCGTGCACAGCAAGAGAGAGAAATGTGGTTGTCCGTCATTGTCAGCTGTTTTGTGAAGCCTATATTTCTTTGCCAACATGACCCCTCATATATAGATTATTGTAAATTTTTTTTTGTGAACTGTGTGCTTGAGCGTTTATCTTGACCGAATGAAGGTCTGGAAGGAGGGTGGGGTAAACCAACTTATGGTTAGGCCATTTTTTAGGTTATAGGTCTACAAAGGCGTCATTTTGGTTGGTTTTGGTCGGTCTGGGCTCCCCATTCTACAGTGAGCTGGTGTCCATCCTGTTAGCTGGGGTCATCCATTCTATAGAGCCAAAAAGGTAGGCTCACCCATTTTATTACTATATGGGGAGTCCGGACCGACCATGGGAATTTCAACGGGGATGTTAATTATACATATGTTTATCTATGGACACAATACACCCATGTCGTTACAAGCCTTGTCAACGGGTACTTTGCTCGTCTTGAGGTTTTTGTGTCGGTCACAACTGCCAGGAAAAACATTGGACTCTGCCACTGCCGTCGGGGTACCTCGCTGCAAGTTACTCGCGTTTCTCGAAGAAAACGAAAAGTTTTCTCTGTGCAGTCGCACAGCACATGAGCACAAACATGGTCTTGCTGTTGATGGTGAGTTTTGGAACCGTTTCGTGAAGAAAGGTGGAGTGCAGCTCCAAAACCAAAAAGGACTTTGACCCCGACGAGGCACTTCTTTCGTCGAACAATGCATTGCTTTACTTCGGTAGCTACTAGAGTGCATGCAGACTGTTCTTTCCTGTGGTTTATATGCTCTTATACACTTAGCTACTAGTAACAAGGGCATTACTACTGGGAGCAAGGACGCTACTAGTAGCTCCTGGCCTTACTACTAGGAACAAGAAGCTACTAGCAAGAAAGGGCATCGCTACTAGGAGTAAGGACGCTTACAGTTTCACATAGTTTAACATCAAATGCTGGCCAGCGTGGGGTCCAGGACACCTGCTTGATTTGTGAGAGAATGCATAGGGCCTATGCCATAGGCGCATGCCAAGCGCATGCCCTTAAGTATATACATTTGCCGTCCCTGTTTTGTCAAACAATGCCTGTTTTGTTTTGTCATCAATGAATTGACACCATCCAAGTTCTTCACAATTGAGCAGACAGAATGATCCTTGACGATTGCTTGTCAATGCAGGTGGGCGATGGTGTTGATGCGCGATATGAGTTTGAGTTTGTTGAACTACAGCCAATTTGGGATGAGGCTCTCCCACTGCCGCGTGTGAGGTAAGGCTATCTTTGCTTGTGGTATTTTGTGGTCAAGAGCTCTCTCACTTATATAAATACAATGATGTCACAGCTGGGTTCATTGAGAGCAACATTGATGTCATGGGCATTTAGTTCACACTTGTCGCCGTGCAAAGAAAGAATAGAGTATAGAGCTTCAACGATTTCTTTCCAGGTCCGAATGCTCTTACTCTCCTTAATCTGCAAACACTGGATGATTTTGGCCATATTCTTGTCAGTTATTTATTTTCTATCATTCTAGTGCGTCACCCCTGTCCTCCTCTTCAGGTAGCCGTAGATATCTTCGGCAGATTAGGGCTACTCGTGCTTTCCACTCAATTCGAGAAGCATATCGACCCGGCCAGCTCAAAATGAAGAACATGCAAGTAATTGGGCTGCGTGGTGGCCACAACCTGGATTGGTGCCGAAACTTATTTGCATCCTTGACCAGAATACCCCATCGGCCCATCGGTTGATATAGCTGCATGGATTCATTTGAATATGTCCCTTTAAGTGCCATGTTGCTAGGCAAGCCCGTGTGCTACTGTGCGAACTGTCCATTTCAACCACCTGCAATGAACTATTTAGTTTGGAACTTTTTGTTTCACCAGTCAGTGTGAATGTGCAAGGATTTCATGTCCGACCCCACTTTCATGCAAGCCTGCTTGCCGTGAGTACGTTTATTTTGTAGCGGCAGATAGAGAGGCACTGGCGCATTTGGTGGAGTCCTGCTTCCAAGGAGTCCTGTCCGAAGAAGATCCGAAGACGAAGCTTAAGGTCGCACGAGTGCGAAGCCGACGATGTAGCCGCATTTGGTTATCACTAGCAGCTAGCAGACGAACATCTCAGCCTTTCAACATATCCTTTGCTGACCGCCACACTGTTCTTTTGAAGGAATTTGGGGATTACATGATTCCACCTCTAGCATGTGCTACTTGTACTTGTGTGGATGAATCCTGAACAAGCAGTCATGAGTAGTGAATTCATCAGACGCACCGCACAGTGTTTTAACAACTGGCCCATCAATCAGCCACTTTGGTCTCTATTTTGGCCGCTAGACCGACGCACCATGAAACACATTGCCGAACATGAACTGTCGCGGTGGGTAAAAAGCCAAGTATTCGATTCAGGCTTCGAAATCTGCCCTGCGATGGCGTCATGATAGGTGTCTAGCAACCCAGAGCCCAGAGCGTGTTGTCAGGCGGGGTCTGTGGTTTGCGACCTCGAGCTCCCAACAGTGGAGGGCACGAACATCCTGGTGGGCGGGAAGTTGCCGCTTGAGGCGCACGGAAGTGGCCGCTGGCTTTAACAGACCACCCCGGTGGCCGGTGGCCTCAGAATGTCCCAAAAGTGAAAATATGTTTGTGGTGAATGAAAGCCCGAAAAGTCCTCACGACCTATAGACTTTCCTATATATAAATATACATATACAATACATGATATATATATATATATGCTTATATATATGATATATGTGCGCTATCTCTCGCCTGCCAAGTAACAAGCCTCAAGCACTAAGCACAACACAAGCAAAACAAGTCTTTGGCTTCAAGCTGTCAGTCAATGCCGGTCTGCAGAATTCAAGCAAGTCTTTGCCACTGAAAACTCAACAAAGAGGATTCAAGCCAAGCAGACCAGAATGAACTGGCGGTTTGTCAGGTGCAATCAGGCCGTCCCTCCAAAACAATGGACTGGACCATCTCAATCGATGCTGTTTTGGACCCGATGTTTGGAGCCCCAATCTGTCCGTCCAGTTTGTTGAGAAACAACACAGGTGCGAGAAGAATTGTGTTGGAACGTGGTGCGTATTGTACAGATATACTGTATCTATATCAGCTCTCAGTGGTGCCCTGTCGTTGGACACCCAGCAACACTGTTCTTGGAGTGTCCCTTTGAAATCAGGTGCACACACAAACATAAATCAATGTGTGTTTTAGCCAGCTCTAAGGCGTTGCAGCAGGTGGACCGCTGTGCGCATGCTATAGGAGCGTGGTACTCACCTTGGTAGGGTTAAATATAGCATGAAATTATGTACAAGTAAATATATAAAATTTCAACCCGTGAGCCTGGACTTTAATATGCAGTCCCAAGTCATGACAATTGAGTCAGTTAACGATGGCAGTCCACACTTTGAGACCTTTTTCACGTGAAGCGTCGTTTGGAGGCGCAGTTCCGCTTGCAGCAGACGGGAGAGAATGATGTGAAATCCACAGTGGTGGTTGGCGGCGGTGGTTCCAAGGCCAGGTCATTTGCAAGCAGTGTTTGACAAAGAACAAAGAGAAAAAGAAAGGAGGTATCTCATTGCAGAGATACATTCTCCCAAAAGAAGGTTGCAGGAATCTCGAGGTGGAACGAATGGAACATCATCAAGCAAGTAGAGTAGTGCAAGACGGTTTTTTTTGCTAGCTCTTGGATTGAGTAAAGGTATATTGTACATAATTTGCAGTGGAATCGTAGAGGGCCAATGCTGGAAAGGCCGTACTATCAGTCTCGAATCGAAACATTCCTCCGAACAAGTCAATCTGACTGCAGCATCTCTACGTTGGTTGTTGTCCATGCAATATGATTGGGGGGGGCGTGTTCGGCAGGAGGCTACCTGCGAAGGGACGTGTGACGGCACAGACGAAGAAGAGGCAAGAGAGAAGGCAAGGCGACATTTTTCACAGACAGTCAAGAATTTGAGTTCAGACATGTTGAGAACAGCATATTGAATATTGAATATGCAATATTCCTTTCGCACTCTTTTCACCGCATTCCGCTTAAGCATCTTCGAGGTTCAGGAGAAATTGGGAGACAACGCAAACGTGCAGGATGACTTGGAAGTGCGCATTCTGGCCTGTTTATTGCGCCATCCATAGCTCGGATCACAGGCTTGTGAGAATTTCTAGGAAGCCTTGATTTCGAGATTAGCAAAGTTACTGCATATCCTATATCCTCTAGGTCCTATAGGTGTTTTTTGACATTCGAATGGATCCCTTGAAACTTGAAATGATGAAACATGATTTGATCTGACAGATTCATCAGTTCTTCATCACTTTCAGCAGTTTTTAGGCGCTTGCTGTCACCGCCTAGGATTGATCTCTATGCAAACAGGCAAATATTGCCGCACATCTCCGCAAGTCTTTCAGACTTGGAAAGGGTTGCTTGACGATCAGCTAAACAATGCACAGCCGAAGGCTGCGGGTGCGCAAGCATCGTCACGGTAATTATAAGGTTCATAGAGGTTGTGCCATGCGTTTCTCAAAGCTTGAGGAACATGTTCCAGGCAACATCAAGCTGTGGACCTTCACTCTTCAAGGGGTTGTTGGGCTAGTTCAGGGCAGAGTAGAAGTTGGAACATGTGAGACACCTTTTGGCGCTCATTATCGCAGTATGTCAGCCAGAGTTGATCCTTTATCCAATGTAAGCTCAACTTAGCTCAGGTCACCTTAGCTCAGCTCACGCAATCCCTGATCATGTTTCATATTGTTTCATTACAACAGCTCTTTCATGCCCTTTCTACCCTTTGGGAGTCAGAGTTCGTGCAAGATGATTCTCCTACCATGTGCATTTTTGCAACATGTCTTTGTCAGCAGGTGTTTAGAGTTAACGCAACAAAATACATTCACACACTTTTTTTGTTGTCTTGACGACTTGGCTGACCACAACAAGAGCAATTTTTTCATCAGCATGACAATTGGCTGAGCACAGTCGACCTGAGGCTCCTTACGAAGAAAAAGCTTCTTTTGTCCTGTGACATGAGCGAAGGAGATTCTGCTCCAGAGACATTACTATCCCTGGATGGCTACTTGGCAAGTCAAAAGTTATGCTGCATGCTGCATGCTGTTCATTTTTTCAGGTCAATGATTTTGGCATGCTTTTGGTCTTTCTTATCATGCTTGGACATACTTGGACATGGAAAGATGCGAGACTTAGCAGTTTGCTCGTGGCCCACATGAATTGTAAGCACTTGCCAGCTGCGCCTCAAGTCTATCGATGATCAAGACCAGTCTCCGAGGCACCTGTACACTGTAACCTGTAGTCTCGATGTGTACATCGCTCTCTTGCCGATGGAACGAGGCAGTACGGATGGCCTTGTTCCATCTCCATATTGGCTCCTTGGATCTCCGACATCTTTTCTGGTGCTGCACCAACAAGTTGGTACAACAGAGTTGCATTTGGTACAATGTTTCAGTCCGAAAGCCTGTTTGGCACTTCCACCCTATGGCTGGGCATTCTTTTTTGTGTGGCAGGTGTCTTTCTTGGTTTCTCAGAACACCCCAACACGTGTACAACTTCCAAAACATATCCGAAGTCATGCTTGGGTTCGACTCAGGAATTGCACGGGGTTTGGAGTCTTCAAGGATCTCTAGGGGCAGTTCAAGGAAAATCATGAAGTTAAACATAAGTTATGCTCTTCGTTAACTTCAATTTTCGCTGGCTTTTGAAGTTCTATGAAGTTCATCTCTGACACAGCTGAGGGATTTATTGATCATTCTCTCGTTATCTTGCATGGGCGCTCTTGCGGGGTGGAAAGGTAGCATGTGGGCCACCTTCTTGGGTGGCACGGGTGCAGCCGCTTTGATGCAGATACAGCTGTAGACATCTGTAGAGCATTTGTTAGAAGGATTGGACCGTCAAATCAAAGGTTAACGAACACAGCATGATGCCAAAATGCAAAGAACAATCTTTTTGTGAAACTCTGGTAGGAAGGGTTCTGTGTGCAATAATTGCAGAAGCGCACAGCCAGATGCTGCGGTTCTTTGTTGTTTTCCAATGCCAACAGGAGAAACTACCAGAGCAGAGACTGCTTTGGAATCCCTACATGGGAATGGGTCAAAACCTGGAGCCCGACCACCATCATTTGCCGCAAACGACCTTCCAGTCCTCCATACAGCGCGGATATTCGGTTTCATAGGATGATATTAAGAAATATTATGAAATAAATTCATATGAATTCATATATATATATATATATTCAGTTCAGGTACACGGGCCATTTACCAAGATCCCCGGTAGGCATAGCTGCGACCTGGTGCGACCTGGGGATGCGCCTGGATTTGAGTTCCGTCGGTAGGTGAACCGAGATACCCTGGTTTTGAACAAATTCTGTGACTGTTGGAGCTTCAACTTTGAATTGACCTTTACGAGTTCACTTTGCATTTGAGGTCTTCACATTCGCAACGGTGGTCTTGAGCACAGCAGGTGGACTTGTTGGTGGCCTTTTCTTGAGCGCACCTTTGGCTTGACCAGTGTTGGTTGCATTGCAGTGGCCCTGTCCTGATGAGAGTGCTAAATTTTGGTAGTACATGGTCGTATCAGGTACAGTAATATTCTGTGCTGATGTTCACGGATCGATGATACATATCAAACTTTGGGCATTTTCTATGTGTCTCTGTCACAATTGCAAAAGTGTTGATGCAAGAACCATAAATTCAGCGAAACTTAAACCCCCATGTTATGGCCCATGTTTGTTGAAAACGAAGCGTCTCCTGTGGTGCTTTGGCTTTTGCTCCTTCTGCCCAGGAGCATTTGGCACAAGACTATCACATGGACGGCAGCCTGGGATGCAAATTCGGTATCCCACAGAAAATGACATCGGGCCAGATGCTGATCGGAGCACAGTTGTGGCAATAAGTTAGCTGCAAGATGACATTTTGTGCCTCCTTGCCAGCTTTTTCATCCATGACACATCATGGCAATCATGACAGGTTTCAGTTTTTTTCAGGCCCAGGGTTTGCTCAATACATGGTCCTTCGGATGATTTGTTATGCCGCTATGCTCTTTATGGCTCACTTGGTTCGGAATCCCTCCACTGGGCAGTTGGATGCCTGCAAACCAAGCTTAGGCATCATGATGCGCTACATGATGCAGGAAAAGTTGCAGACAATTGGTCGGATGGCTGGTTTAATTCCTTTTCGCTAGACGAGAGAGAGAGAGAGAGAGAGGTGCAAAGGCCTATAAGGCTTGTGCAAGCTTCCTGTCAGAAGTGGGTTGAACCTTAGGATTGTTGGCCCATATGCCAATCAGTTATCTAAAATCAATCACACGCATATATGCAGGAAAATAACTGATGCATTTGACCTTGAATGAACGATCTTGCCAACGAACTCAGTAACTTCGCGCTGGAACACGCCAGGTCAGCAGATTCTATATATGATCGAACCTGGGCACTGCAGGTTGTAGATACAAGAAGGAGATGGAAAGAGTATATAGCATATTTATCTATTAGTATTAGTAATAGAGTGTACATAAAACGAGCGAAGAAGTCTGACTGGTTTCCAAGACAGACAACTTCATGACATACATAGAACCATGGTATACCATGGTATACCATGGTATATATATATATATATGGGAGTTGATCGAAAACCCCGTGTAAGGAGTTTTATATAAAACAGCCTTTCAGATGTTGTTAGAACCATCCGCGAAAGATTCGCGATGAGGTTCGCGAAAGTATCTTTTTTTTCCGCGAAAGATTTATCGAAGGTCATCGCTTTCATTGTTTTCCTTTCTACCGGACTGACAAAGAATAGAAATGCAAGGCAATCCTGCGGCAGAGCCAGCGGGCGGAAGTGTCCCCATATGTCACAGACTAACGAACTGAAGCCTCAACATTTCCGTGCCCAGCCCTGGCAGTGCGCAAAGGATTCTCCGATTCCTGTCCCCACTGTCACAGACTAGCAATCTGGGTAGGCACAGCCCTGACAGTGAGGCAACGACCTGCAGCTGCTCTGACGGGCTGTGCAGATGTTTGCAAATTTTACGGCTTCCCGGGGTGAAATTTCGCGAAAGATCCGCGAAAGCTTCGCGAATGTGCCGCTAAAGTCTAGGTTCCCAGCGTGAGGCCCCCCAACATTCCCCAAGCTGCATCGCCCTGTGTTGGTAGCTGACACGAAGATTGGGTTGAGTTGTGCCTGACTCTATTTGGCACAACTGTCGCACAGATGCTGCAAGTGACCCTGAGTAGCTGTGGAAACGTTCAACCATCTACTGGGGTCATGCTGCAAGATGTCTCTCCCTATTTTGTGATACTATGGCATGTTCCGGCCCATGTTAGCTAGACATGGTTGTAGGACCATGCTTCGCGATGAGGCCGCGAAAGATCCGCGAAAGATATATATCTTTTTTTCCGCGATGAATGGCCATTCCAGGATGAAAGAATATTGATCAACCACCATATCTTAGTATCAGTATTAGTACACTACAGGGTGTATATCGTTGTACTTTGGAAGCCTACTCAGTTTCAGCGCAGTTTTCTCGTGCGATGGTCGCTTGAAAAATCCACAGTTTACTGTCCAAACACGAGCTGGCAAGCTGGCACTCAATCTTGCCAAGGAATCTGCTTTGGACTTTGAACTGCCGCGCATTTAGTGTTCCAGCGTAAAAAAAGGTGCACGTCGCCATTTGGCCGTTTGAATTTCATAAGTCACTCCATTTCGCAACAGTTTTTGGGTGCACTTGAACAAAACATAGTTTCCATTACTCAATGATATGCCCATGTTGCACAACGGGCAACTTGCTTGTGCGCAGTGCGCATGACCTGGCATCAATCCTTATGATCAAGTTGCGTTCATGTTGCGCGAATAACTTTGCCAGAGTGATGTGCTATGCTATGAACTTTTAGGTTGCAAGATGTCCTGATAGACAATCCATTCAAATTCAAAGGTATCTTCGGTTGGGTAGAGGGCTTTGGCAAAGCAGTGGGCACATGTTCGCAACCTAAGCACCTCAATACCTCTCTTGTACAAGTCTAAACCTGCATCACTGACCATTGCACACGTATGCAACAACATGAAGACGATGGGCCGGTTCGTGGTGCAAACGTATGGGAGTATCTCAAGTACGAAGCGTGAGACCAGCCCGCCTGTAGTGTGCCCCATGATTTTGGACCTCAAGGCCTTCATGGTAAAACAATAGCTCAAGGCCTAGCAACTCAAATGCTCCGAGGGTGTATAATTACTGTAATAATTTGCATTCTTTATGCCTCGTGCCATTTAGAATCAAGCGTGCTCACAAGCACGCCCTCACAAGCTCACCGTCAAGTGAGCCTTGTGGTAGTCTACTCCGTGTGAAGACTGCGCAGTGGAGGAGGTTGGAGATAGTGACTACTTGTCGAGAGTCAAAGGCCACATGTCGTCGAATTCTATTCGGTTTCAATAGGTAAATTAACATATCTCCACTCAGTTGCTTGCAGTTGGAAAGTCCGCAGAAGAGGTCCAGGTTGGCCTGGAGTAGCCATCCTCCATCATCATGAGTTGTTTGGGACCTGCTCTCGCTGGGTCAGGCAGCTTGTGGAGATCCGCTCAGAAAAGGAGGGGAGGTCGCTCGCAGATGTTAAAGGATAACTATTATGTTTTGGTGTGATTTGTTTGTTTCCTCTGTTTTAGGGGGGTTTCGCTTCTCCGCGTTTCTTTGTTTCGCTTCTTGTTGCTTTTCTGGCTGTTCATTTCTTATAATTGCTTTGCATTGCTTCCCTTTGTGATTTCTCATGCTTTTCCTGCTTTTTGTGCTTGTCTGTGATTTCTCATTCTTGCTTTTGCATGCTTTTCTACTGCTTTTCTTCACATTCCTGCTTCTTGTCTTCTTGTGGCGTATTGTTTCCGTATTTTATTTGCTTTCGCCGTCCATGGCCTTTGTTGCCGTTTGCTTTCTATTTGTTGCTTTTCTAGCCGTCACTTTATGTTGCTTTTCTTTGCTTTTCTGGCTTTCCATACTTTCCCTATCTTTTCCTACTGTTGTTGATTGTTTGTTGCTCTAATTAGTTCATTTTGTTCGAGCTTTCGTTGCTCCTGTGAGTTTTGCAAGTTCTGTGGTGTATGCGATCGAGAAGGGAGGAAAGAATGAATGAGTTTTCTTTATATGATGCACTTGTGTTGTGCCTTAAGGTGAAAGAAACACTTGTCTCATTTTTTTTTGCCCTGTAGCCTGTGTCTCATGTTGTGGCCTGGCTCAAAATGGAAAATGGCTGCGTGGATGACCTTTCTTCTAGAAAGAGGTAGCTTTCCACTTCCACAGGATGAACTATAAAGAAACCACGGCCGAAACGAAACAAAAAAACACCAAATAAAAACACACCCAAAGATAGGCCAGCACAGATCCCCCAGACGGCCGGGAACATGTAGAAACCTTTCACAGATGCAATTTGTTAGCTTCATTAAATGGTGTTGGATTGCCTTTGTTTGGCTGTCCAACATTCTCATCCACTGGCCCATCTACTCGTGCTTGAGGATTGTATTATCATGGGAACAAGAAGCCCCTCAACATTCATTGATTTCCGGGCGTTTGCATTGTTGTTCACACCGCGAGCAAGCAGCAAGCCGATTCCCAACATTTTCATGTAACGGGACATGTATGTATACACATATATAATATAAACGTATAACAACATTTATATATGCATACACACATTTATATATATATATACACATAGAGATAGTTATGTTGGTAGATTCAATCAGACTGTTGATCCGAGCAAACTGCTTAGGAACACACTGACAAGACCATGACTAGCCCTGACATTTCTACTCTCATCGAATCGGATCCAAAGCTCAAGCCTCAGGATGGCTGGGGCTGCCAAACCACAGTTCGCTGCCTCTCCCAGGTCAGTCACAGTCGACTTTGAGCAAGATGTGTTGCTGAAATGGGATGGGGAAGTGGGACAGTCGTTTCTTATTGTAATTTTGCGGTTTTGAGCATGGGAAGACGCACGGAACTTTGGTTGATAAGCTAGTCCTGCTGGCTAGAAGATGACTTCAGCCTGGTAGGAATGCATGAATGATGACTTCAACGGGTGAGACAAATGACAGACCCAGCCGCCCAAATTGAACGGTGGAGGAGTCCAAATATGCGCTCACCACGGCCAACGCTCAGCAACTTCGGTTCGCTGCTACCGCGGCGCGCTCCCGCCACCGGCTGCCATGTTCATCCAAGTTCGGCAATACAGACATAGAAAATTGGTTGTGAAGAGTACTCTTCAAGCTTGGAGGTTTCAAACATAGCTTCGCAATGGATCTAATCACCATTGTTTGCTTGAATCAACGGGACTGAGCATCAAAGATGACTTGCTGACTTGTGTAGAAGCCATTTACTACACATCCGTACACTCTGGCGGCCATTGAGCCAAACTGCCAAACTGCTCCCTGGAGGAGAGCATGTTACATGTTCATTGGGGTATGTTTGTCCAATGTGAGTATGACAGGAAAAACGAGACTGAATTGAACCACCTTTGTGAAGTGCATTTGACAATATTTTAACCTTTATGTACCTTCTCAACATAAGCATGAGAGAATGGCTGATGTTCCAAGTTGAGCACATGCGAAGCTTGCAACACGCAAACATGATGCAAACACAAATCGTTTCATGAAGCTTTGCGTTCTCTCTGTCCTGAAGTCCCAGCGCCATTTCAGCCACTTGATACTTGAAATGGCTCCTGGTCAAGTTCCCAAAGCTGACGGGAAATGGCAACATGCAGTTTTGGGGCCGTGCAGTTTTGTTTTGAATTGTTTCGCAGACCGCACAGCAGACACCCTTGAGGTTGGCCCAATCGGACGCTGAGCAATGCTGTCAGGCGCTTATGCCCTTTGTTACTAGTAGCGATGCCAGGAGCCCTAGTAGCTTCTTGTTCCTAGTAGGTCCTAGTAGTAAGGCCAGCAGCGCCCCTAGTAGTGTCCTTGCTCCGTTCGTAGCGATGCCCTTGTTCCTAGTAGCATTGGACAGTCTTTGGAGCTCAGAGCTGAAAAGGCGCAGAGATTTCTGACTCTTGGGCCTTTTCCAAGACCCAAGATCCGAAGCGGACGTGAATGGCAAGGACATTGCTTAGAATTGGAACTCATACCTCCTGAAGAGCTTATAAAGCGGATCCAAGTATACTTATTGCAGCTGACACTGCTTGCTGCGCCCAAAGAGAGGTTAGCGGTGTCAGCTATTCAAACTGCCAGGCTAACAATTCAGCATCCTGGCTGCAAGTTGAGGCGACAGGCGAGGCGACAGACATGAGATGTCCCAGCCATGGAAATCTGAATGATAAGGAGCCTAAGATGTGATTTTTATAATGGATAATTGGACCATCGGTCATCAGTGATCCGTACGCAGGTGTTTTTTTCCGTTCCCTTTCTCTCTTGGCAATTGGACCAAACAAGCCTGGTACCTTCCATTCCCTTTCAAGATTTAATGAAGAGGCAAATCAGAAGTGATGGGTTCTTGTCGTGAGCAATTTAGGAAGCGTGTGCACTGGCATCACCCACACAACCTATCAGTGTGCTTGCATTACACTATGTGTTGAGAAGCTGCAAGGCTTTCTGGCACACGTGACGACTATGGAACTGACACACGATCCGCCGACTTCAAAACGCTGTAATGCTGGAGCTGACTGAGGTGAACTCACTGTTTTTTTTGAGTTGCTCCGGCTATGAGTGTCTTGATACTTTAAGGAACATGTTCCGTGTTTTGCCAAGGTGGCCAATGGTGGATGGGATGCCAGCCATTGCAGGTGTCCTAGTATCGTACGTTGCAACAAAGGGTAGTCTTCTCTCAAATGCATGTTCAGAACAGGACAGTGCGGTTCTCTAGAGTTAGTGATGAATCCTGGCGCACGGAAGGGAAAGCGGCCAAATAGATGCTGGTTTCTCAAGGCTGTGGCTGATCCATCAGTGATGCCCTTGAAGAACCTGCTTAGTCATGGAAGAGAGGCATCCTCCAGGCACGATAGATGGGTGGCTTTCATGCAAAGGTTATGCACGGTCGGCATGTTTAGATCATCCAATTTGCATTTGTTTAAACGTTTCATCCTCCTATTGCCTTTGCCCCAGATTTTTCAAGACGTCCAAAGTTCCAAAGTGTGGGGCTTCCTTCCCGTGCCTTTCAGATTGCGTTCCCGTGCTTCAGCACTGTAACAGCGTACACCACGCGTTGGTGTTTTGACGAACTTCTCGCAGATGGCGGATTCAACATCCTCCATTTTGGGAAACATTCTTCCAGTCTCTGCCTCAGTCTTTAAGTTCTTTAAGCGGTGCGGCTTGGGCCACAAGGCCACTTTTTGTGTTTGTTTTCCAACAAATGCAGGTATATAAATACAGGTCTTTTGACTGGTTGTATTAGGCAGAAGATATCTACTGGACCGTTGGAACGCACGGGACTGGTTTTCTCGGATGTGCATGTTTAACCCCCACAGCAGAACCCCACAGCACTTAAGGCGGCTTCGGGAGCTCAAGGATCAGGCTTGGACATTGGGAGATGAAGGGTGGATAGGTCCATAGCATTGTGATTGCGATAGATTCTCACGTTGTTGAAACAAAGCTATACACAATTAGAGAGACAGAAAGGTCTAATCAAACCAAAAGGAACACATGAAAAATGATGAAACATGAAGTGCTGGAATGTCGGTCCCAAGTGTTTAAGCTTTCCAGGCGATCGTTTTGAGATTGAGACATATTGAGACCACTATAGACCATTAATGTCATTAATGTTACAAATTGTTACAAGTTAAGTTCTGAGCTTCAATGGAGTGAACTGCACACAACCAGGCAGTCAATGAACGACATGCATACAAGAATGCTGTCCCACGGAGTCGGGGCCCTCTGAAACAAGTTTGATTACTTGCTCGCAAAGGATCTCTGGCCAACAGCTCGTAATTTCGGCATCAGGCTTTAGGCGCAGACTGCAACCTGCCAGGTGGGTGTCGTAGAGGCCGTGCAGATCCTATGCATCGTGACGAAGCTCAGGTGGCTGTGGATGAATATGAAGGATTTGCAAGTTCTCTCAAACGCTTTGCTTCAAAATGGTCAGTTGTGCTCTTGGCCATGTTGATTATCGAATTCATCCGACAGAAGGCTTCGAACAGTGGTTGAAGACAGCATAAGACAGTGCAAATCAAGAAAACCTCAAAGACTCTGCAGTAGCGATCTATCTTTCGCTTTCAGTGCTGCCACTTCTATCGTAACCAGTTCAAGTATTCAGCTGCGGCTGCTGCTGCTGCTTCTACTACTACTACTGTTGTTAGTTCTGCTGCTTCTGGTCCTGATTGTGAACACAAACACGGTAGTTCAGACGCAGCTTAGATTTGAGCAATAAGTATTACTAAGTAACTATATCATATATCTAGATATATATATATAATATAAGTACTATTTAGATAACTAGACTCGACATAAATTTAGCACGCTTTCAATCGGTTGCCCCCAAGAAGTGTAGTCTCCTTGGAATGCAGTGGAGTCCACAAAATGCCTAACAGTGCACAACATGTTGCAAAGTCCTGTCATGCCATGCCGGTCCGTATTGAATTGAGATGGTAGATGGATGTTTGGGCTGGCAGTCTTGTACGTAGTTTGGCTACTACTCAAAACATCAGGATATTCAAGACACAAGACCAAGTATTTCCAACCTTTTTAGCTGTAGTGGCAGCTCTTCACCTTGAGTGTTTTTAATTAGCATGACAAGGCTTGTGGACTTGTATTTGGTCGAGATGTCAGTCGAGAAGATCCTTCAAGCAGATGATGAGGCCTGGAAGCTGGTGCCAAATGTATTGACTCTGTCACCAGAACTAGAAGCGGTGTAAATGAGGCCACTTAGTGTGATGTGTTGTCAAATATCCAGACTTGAACTAACAAAGAAGGCTGATAGAACGATTTAGGCTATATGTGCTTTGGGGGTCGAGATCTCAGAGTGCACATGTAAACTGTTTGAGATAGAACGTGCCACAACACCCAGAGGAGCCTGCCTAAAAAGAGTCGGACCTGGTGCAGGAAGTGCTGGATTTGCCACAGCGAGATTTAGCAGAAGCTGCAGAGGTGGAAAGACTACGCTTGGAATCTGAGACTTCCTCAACTTCAACATTGTTTCACATTGCTTCACATGAAGGAATGCAAGGTTATTTCTTCACATGGGCCAGACATGTGACATGCTTAGACATCAACATCATGCAACATCACTCTTCTTTGAGCCGATAGCTTACGTGAAACGCGCCCACGTCCACAGATGCGGTGTTCATACAGTATTGGAGCATTTTCCCGTACCGTAGTGGTGGCAGGGTTGCTTGCAACGTTTGAGTCAATAGTTTCGCAGAAGTTCGCCAGTTTTGAACCAAGCACCGCAAGCTGATTTAGGATCCAGATCAAGACCAAGTGTTTGTCACATTTTTGACTATTTGTGGGAATTCTTGATCTTCAAGTTTCAATGACAGGCACTGGCTATCATACGCCCGGAGGTGCTCGCAGCAGACGCACTTGTGTTGAACAAGACATTGCTTCGCTCGATGTTTCAATCCTTGCACCAGCAATCTCTTTGGTAGACGTTTCAGCATTTGTTTGAAAGGGATTTCGCTGAGTGAACATTGCATCTCAGCACTTTGGATTGAGCAAACCAATCTGCTGAAGGCTATGGCGGTCTTGCTGCGAGTGCTCGCAGCCCGTGCACATAGGTGACGGTGCTTCTGTCAGGGCAATGAGATTGAACTTACACTTACTTGTTTCATCAAACACCCAAAGTCTTGTTCTGCAACATGTTCTGCAAATGATTGATTTGGTCAGGCTAAGAGCTGGGCACGCTGTGAAACTTCTCACTGCAGCTGCAGAGGCCGCCTGGTTTGTCATGCTCAAGGGATCTCAGGGGTATGCCTCTAGATGTCCTTAGTCATCCGCACTGGATTGAGACACAACAAATCAAAGTCTTCAATCTATTCTATGTTACACAAGGTTTGAGTGAAACTGGATGACCAGGCTTGGAGTGACCTAGTGCGGAATGATGTATTTGCCAGGCTCGGAGTTCGAGCTGTCACGATTTCGCAGAGGCGTTTTGCCGCTCACTTGTTGAGCGCCAGGAGATCTTTGGGCGGTTAAACTTAATGCGTAGCGGTTTGCTTCAGATAGCTTCGTGTATTCACGCTTGGAGGTCATAGAACAGGCAGAGGCAGCCATTTTGCAATTCGTGTATGTCCAAGTTTCTGTCGTGTTTTTTGTTCTGTGTTTTGCTATCTGGCTTTCACAAGTCCTGCGCCAGGACGCCCCAAGCCAGCCCCAATCTCAGCTAAGAGCGTGGCAAAGTGACCCCCCTGAACCGCATTTGCTGCTTCTCCAGGGACATTGCAATGGCCGCTGAAGCTACAGCAAAGTTGGTGACTTCTGGCTTATACAGGAGTGGCTGGTGAATCAACCTGTGTAGTGAAGAGATGGAGAAACAAAGCTTGGGAGAATTGGTGGGTCACACCCACACGTGAAGTTTACCTTGGGAGAATTGGTTCGACTGGGGTGGACAAGAGTCACAAGACAGCAGAAGGCACTGCCAAGCCTCGTGTGCTGCGAAACAGATTGGAGCCTCATCCATGCGGCCTGGAGTTGCTGTTGCAACATGCTGCGTGCGAAGTCCTAGAGTTTCTCCATTGAAGGGGCCCTGTTAAAGAAAGCATCTTTGTTTGCATGGGGCAGTGAAGTGTATAACCTGAAGTGAGCCTGGCTTGAAGCAGTCCTACCAAACAAATATTATTGGTTGAACCCTGAAAGCCTACCTTTCTTCTTAGGACAATGGATAAGTTTGATTTGGTCATATGATCATCGCTTTGATTCTCCTTGGAAGACTGACCAGCCTGAGGCGCCGTGTGCAAAGCTTCACACTGCCGCGGTTGAGACAGCTGGCCCTGGCCTAAGTATATCCATTTGACTTATCAAGAGAGATAGGGCACCGCAGGAGGCTGAACATAATTCAAGGTTGGCTCGGCAAATCATGACAATGATGTCGAAGCTGTCTAAAGCTGCAGTGTTGTTGCAAGTACAGCGAGCATCAGCAAAGGTTGAAATAATTGTGAACAACACCTCGCAGTGGCTGAAAGGCAAAACGGACACAATGCAGAAAGATAACAACCTGAGATTTTTGACTTTGCTGCGAAGAAGCAGGGGGGCAAAACTTGAAATTTCCCCAGGTGGATGCAGGCATGAGCCTTAAATCTCCAGCCAGGGCCTCAGTGGGCTCAGGGCGCTGCAGGTGATTCTTGTTTTGATTTGTTTTAACACGACGTGGAAAAACTGTTATATATATATAGGATCGTTCAGATATTGTGTATGACTTACTCAGAGGAGAATGTCGAACTGGTACAACATGTGCTTATCCTGTGACCACTATACAACAAGTCCAACTTGTTCGGGAAGCTGCATGGCAAAAGTACTTGATCCCTTATTTTGCCAGGCTTCGATAGCATTGCAGCAGCTTCTACACCAACAAGAGCTTATTGCTTTATGGCCGCAAAGCCTGTTTTGAAATTTGTAGGTTCAAGTGATTTGGATAGGCTGTGCGATCATATCCCATTATTTGTATAGTATACCGAATTTCTGAAGGTTTTGTCTCAAAGTGGTGCGCCAATGCCATTCAAGGTCCGTTTTGATTGAATGACAAGTTAGACATTTAGACGTGTTGCCTCACAAGCAAACACATCACTACAATTACTGTACAACAGGGTCTTTGGAGTCATTGGTGAACAACATGGACTTAACACAGAAGCACATCACCCAAGGCTGTGGAGCGGAGCACCGCTGAAAAGAAGTCCGAGTGAGAGCAATGTTCAGATGTCCGGACCTGTATCTAACCTCAAGCCAGTGAACTGCCAGCTCCCGAAGCAATGCCAAATCAAGCGTTGTAAGATCCTAAGGCTTTCAACAATGCCGCCATACTCTATTTTGACAATTTGTATGGGTAGAATATGGTATAATTGAAGGTGCATACGATACACTGAAGCTGAACATCAAAGGGAATGACGGTGTCATCATTTGACATCTACAGTACCCTATCAGTTGTGATTCGTTTCGGCAACGTCCGCTGTGGAGCAAGGAACATAGAAACATGCACGTTCTTTTGCGCATGCCGCAGACAAGCCCACTCGGTCACTGGACATGCTTTAATAAAGTATATAGCTTTAGCCAGTGGCCAAGGGTTTAGAGTTGAGCGCCCATGGGGCAGTCGATCGTGCGACAGTGCCCGTGCACCGCTCGTGATGGTCATGATGGGCTTGGATTAGAGCAGCTGAGACTTGTCAACACTCTGTCGAGACTGCTCAGAAACACGGAAGAGTTGTGATGTTTCAAAACACAGTGGTTAAATACTATGGTTTGTGATGGTCTCTAGAGCACATTCTAGCTTCATGCTCCTCCTCATCCTTGTCGCCGTCACTCCCTCCTCTTCTTCCTCTTCTTCCTCTTTCTCGGTCTCTCCGTCTCTCTCTTTGTTTTGCCTGTCTAGCCTTGTCGGCCACGATGATGCGTTTCATTTTTTCCCATCGTGATGCTCATCTAACAATCCTGCGGATAAGATGTACAATGTACTCACACACACTTGAGAAGGTTGCTCCGTGGAGCGTGATTTCAGGTAGCTTCGCGGTGTGCATTAGCCCTTTAAATCTAGTTACTGCAGGAAACAACGTATGAGACGGCGTTGCTCTGACTTAGACATCTCAAAGAATTGAAAAATTGCAGGTACGTGAGAGTGATCAGCTCTCATATCCCGTGCGTCAGGTAGCTTCATTGGACATGGTCCCTGAACGCACGCCATGTCCCCCTGCTTCTGTACAGAAACGCTGGTAGGAAAGATTAGAAAAAACTAGGGTAGTGTCCTTGGAAACAGGAGTGGACACACACACTGAGCCGTATCGGCGCAACTAGATCGGATCATGTAAGGTCAGGATAATAAATAGTGGAAGTGCTTGACAATGAAATTTCAATACTGTAAAATACATATCACAGCAGTCTGCGAAAGTGCCGGCACATAGTCTTTTTCCTCTTGGCCGCAGCGCCGCGGCGCAGTGTGCTGGTGAATGGCCTTTGGCCATATATAGCTGCATCAACTTCTGTGCGGTCGTGTGGGCGAGATGTTTGGGGTAAGTGTATTTTTGTAGGGTGTGGTGGCGTGATTGTAAGCCTGAAAGGCGTAGTCTGTGACTCCCTGCTGACTGGGGATCACGAATCTGCCAGGAATGGGTGGGGAGTTGGAAGGTGACGGTTCTGTTGAGAGGGTCAATCAAGAAACCGAGTAGATGGTCGTCGTCCACTGGCTCTATTTCAACTGGTTGTTCGTAAAATTCAGGATGGGCCAATGTAGTGATGGGAAGTGCTGATCTGTATTGTTCGTTGAGCAAGATGTATCGGTTGTCGACGTAGCGAGTGTTGAGCAAGTGAAGGCTTGGTTGTTGTAAGAAGGTGTGGTATGTGGTTTGCCAAGTGTGTTCGATGAGCGTGATTGCCACATTGCAAAGGGCTGGTGATAGCTGACTGCCAATGCCGGCTCCTTGAATTTGTTTGTAGTAGGTGTTGCAAGCTTGGAAAATGCATGAGTGAAGAGCTTGTTGAACGATAAGAGGAATGTGTTGTGTATCAAGTGTGCGTTGTTGTGAGTGGTGGATGTAGTGTCGACCGATGTGGGAGTGTTGGATGGGGTTGCCGGTAGACTGGACATCGATGGTGATGGTAGTGGTGTTGTGTTGTGCTTTCCAGCGGTTGCACAGGCTGATGACTGCGTCGACAAGGCGTTGTTGAGGTATGCTATTGAAGAAGCCGACAAGGTCGTCGTTGATCGGTGTGAGGTGGATGTCTTCGGGTGTGGTCTGGAAATGGTTGTGGAGGTGTTGCCAAAGGTTGGGTATAGATAATTGGCCTGGATGTTGAGGTAGAAGATGAAGGAGCATAATGTCTAGTGCTTTGGAGGTGGCTCGTAATAATGTGCCTGCGATGGATCTGAAGTAGCTGATGACTGTTCTACCCTTTCGCCAGGATTTCTTTTGTTTGAGGAAAACTACTCCATGTGGTGTGTAGAATTTTGTGCGGAAGCCCCAGGGGTATGCTTTGCGAATGTTGGCTGGGAAGGAGTGTGTGAGAAATTGGTGGAGTTGTTGGGCGGTGAGATCTGGTAGTGGGAGAAAAAGTTGTGGTGTATTCCATGTGGTGAGACATCCGTGGAAGTAGCGCTGTGGGCAAAAGAGTCGTAGGTTTTGTAGTTCATGGTCAGCATGATGGAGTACCAGCTTGTCTGTAAGAAACTGTTGAAGCTGTGTAACGTTGCGGGAGGTAAAGCGGGGCGTGTATAGAAGATTGTCAATGTGCTGTTTCCATTGTTGGTGTAGAAAAGGTAGGCTGTGTTGATGGAGGGCAGTGGGTAGACCATGGTGTCTTAGCCAGTGAGTGAGTTGTTGTTCAAAGTGTTGGAAATATTGCGTCTTTGTGGGAAAGAAAGTGCTGTTCATGTTGGCTTGTATGAATAGCTCAAGATGGCTGGGGAGCTGTAGGTCTTCAAGTGTAAGTACGTAGTGACCATCGTAGAGCGGCGGTGTGTGGTTGGGACGAAGCAAGGTGTGCATGTGTTGGCAGCTGCATGGCATGTCAGCGGCTGTGGGATGTGTGGAGAAGAGTTCTCCCCAACGTTTGTGGTTGTAGAGCCGGGAACGCAAAGTCTTGTGTGCTGCTTCGCGTAGTTTGGTAGTAGGGGGGTGGAAAGGAATGACGTGATGCATGTGGTGTTGGATCAGTGTGCGAAGCCATTTTTCCGTGGAAGACGAGAAGGTATTGTGGGAGAGAAAAGGAATGGTAAAGGGTTTGTTGGCTTTGGGTGGAGTGAGATTGCGAAAGCTGAGTGCTGAGTGGAGAAGGTGAAGAACACGTGATCGATCTGGTTCCTCTAGGCTGGCGGCCATTCGACGGAAAGCGTAAATTTCAAGATCAGTGTATTTGCCGCTGCGGATGGCTGTTGATGTTTGAAAAGATGAAAGTGTATGCTTGCTGAGCTCGCGTAAGACTGTAAGGGCGTGTAGGCGTTGACTTGTGTGAAGGTGGGGTTGCTTGATGGTGTGTTGTCGTCGTCGGAGCCGTTGGAAGAGACGTTTGTGAGTGGACATCCGTGTGAAAGTGGTGCGATGTTTTGAAAATTGCCAACCTGAGGCTTTGAGTTTGAGGTGTCTTTGGATATAGGGCCAATTGAGTGTAGGTTGCCATTCTTGGATCCGCAGGTGTTCGTAGGTCCATGCTTGATCATAGGTGTCGTGATGGGAAAGGTAAATAGTGCTGTAGTGGTGGAGGTTGTTCTTGGAGTGCCAGTAGCGTAGAGAAAGTTCAGCTGAAATGGGGTGGTTATTGTGTAATTGTTTGAGTTTTGCGTGTCGATTGTATTCTCGCTTGGGGATGGTGATGCTGGTAGAGCCGATGTATGTATGTCCATGTTGGTGGTATTGGTGTCTTGTGTGATGTTGGTTGAAAAAGAGCTTGGCATAAACTGCATTGGGATGTGTGAACATTTGGTAGTGATAAGTGTGTGGTGTAACTTGTAGTTGGTTGAAACGGGAGCGCCATTGTATAGAGTGACGTGTTTGCGAAGGAAAGGCAAAGAGGCATGTGAGGTGAATGAGACTGACCGAAAAAATAGCGTGTGACTTGTCAATGTAGGGTGTGAAGTGGACAAAGTGTGATAGGGCTGTGTGTAATGTTGTTAAAGATTGTAGGGTGTGATGTGTTGGTTGATGCAGCGCTTGTTGTACGAGTCAGGCTGCCAAGGCCGAACCCGCAGCGACCAGTTGCTGTAGTGAACGTGGGGGAAGCTTGAGGACCCGAGCTAGCGGGATGCCGTAGCGGGTAGCTGCTTCTTGGAGTTGTTCTTTGGTGATATGTTCATCTCGTAGAATCTGCTGGATGTTGGTGACTTGTGTCTGAGTGGCTGGTGGTAATGTCTTGAGCCATTTCTGAATGCCAGCTGCTGCATAGTTGGCTGGTGAGTTGTCATGGAGTGTTTGTGTGGTGGGATTGAGAATGGTCGTGGTTGTGATGGCGGTAGGGGCTGGAAGTGGGAGATGCGGTGTGTGGGTGGCGGATGATGGGGTATGGTGTGATCCTGGCTTGGTTGGTGTGAGCGCAATGCCATGATTCTTCAGCTTGTCGCGAGCGCGCTGGAGTTCGCTCTCTTGTTGTTGTAAGCGATCTGTCTGTTGCTGGAGTTTTCGGAGTGCTGTGCCTTCGCCGGCTGGTGGTGTAAGGCCTCGTAGAAAGTCAATGATGCGAGAAATAAGTGGTTGCATGAATTGTTTGGCTTCTGTGGTTTTGTTTGGAATAGACTGATCTGCTTGTTGGTGCAAATATTCAGCGATGTTGTCGATGTCCAGGTTGTGGGCCCTCATCTCTGGCAGCAATTGTGAAGTGAAGACCGCCTCCGCGATAGATCTGGTGGTGACAATGCCTGTGTAGCGTCCTTGGGACAAGATGCGTAGGCTGTGGTCCTGGAGGCCGAAACGGCTGAGCTGCCATGGGAAAATGTCGAGGACTTGTTGTCCTGCGAGGTTGTATTTCCTGGACCACTGTGTCGGCTGAATTGTCCGAAACAATGTGTGACCATGTACGGTATTGGTATCCAAATGGGTGTCGCTGGGAGTCCATGTGTCGGGTAGGTTGGGGATGTTGGGGGGTACCACACCAAGCTGTGGAGGCGTTGGGTGGTGAGATGCTGCGGGTGGGGGCAGGGGTTCAGGTGGAAACGTTGCTGGTGGTGCTGGAGAGGTAGTGGGTGGATCAACTGGAATGTTGGCGTGATGTTGATGATGCTGGTGATAGGGGTGTTGGTAGTGATGGCGAACTGCATTGGTGAGAGGTCCATAGCCGGCAGTGGGTGTCGTGGTGCCATAGTATTGTTGCCACCATTGTTGATGCGCGTCCATGATGGGAAATACTGTAGTTCTGTACAAGAAGGAGCAATACGCACGAGGGGAGTCGGAACTGATGGTTTGAACCACAATGGCTGAGAAGTTAAAGTATGGAGACTGGAGAGAAGTCAAAATTGTGACTTGGAAAGTCAATCGAAGCTCTAGTGGCAAGCGGCAGAAAATCTCGAAGAGCAAAATAAGTATGAACATAGACTCAATACTGTAAATATTTTCTCATAGCTGGAAGGGTCAATACACTGGAAGCATTGAGTCAGAAACCATGTACATAGAATCAAAGACCTTGAATTAGGTCTGGCTCTCGCTCAGGGTGGCGCTCCAGCATCATCCCACCAGGGT